TTAGAGAAATTATATAATCAGAGTAACTGGGATTAGAGAGCAAACGTAATATAAATTCTTTTCATTTCATTTTTAATTTTTTGAAGTTCAAAGTTCTTTACATTACTTTATTATAATCATTTTTCCTATAAGAAGATATTATCCTCTTTTACTGATAAAATAAATGAACTCCAAGTGAGATTGAGAGTAAAAATCAAACAGGCATCCTCCAAGTCCATTAAAATCCTGAACACAAATCTCCTGATTGGAAGTCCAAAGCCGTGTCTGTCGGACAGCACACGACTACATCTCTTTTCCTAGACGTGGTTTTAAAACCCATATGAATGATTCAGACAAAAGGTTGTAGCATCCATTTCATATTCCCAAGCAATCTTCTCTGGAAATTCAGAAAATGATCACTGTTCCACTGGAAGAAAAGTGATTTTTATTTTTAAGATGGTAGCCATATGAGAAAACCAAGTACAGCTATGCTGATAAAGAGGTTCCTTCTCCTCCTTTTTTATTTTCCATTATTCTCACTTTGTTTCTCTCCTTCTGATTTGTTTTTGTAGTTTTCTAATTTCATTATCCATTGCATGTTCCCCATTTTTTCTACCTCTATTTCATTACTGTTGCAATATTGTTTTACTTTGAGGTAAAGAGAAAGCAAAATAGATTCCTACCTATGGAAAGCCAAGATAAGATTTCAGTTGAGACTTAGATGGTTATAAGGCAGAACAGCAGCCCTAAGGTGTGGAAGAGAAAAACAGGGCTAGTTTCTGCTTGTCTCCCCATAGACTACCCTAGAAGAATCTCAGACCTTGCATAAGTGGTAGAATTTCTTTACTGAATCAGTATTTCAGCTGAAGCTGCTAACAATTCATGCTGATCAGACTTGGCTGTAATGTGAACCCAGTGGAGAAAATACATGGTGAAGCATATTGTGTTAGCCAGAACTTGACCATGACAATAAGGTTCAGAAGGTACGAGGTGAGGTCAGGAAAGGAAATGAATATGGCAACATGGAACAAAAAATGACTTAGCCTTATATATTTTATGAAATGAATATTCAGTTGTTATTTATAATATATTTAACATTTTACTTCCACAGAGAATTGCTTCTCTTTTGATAATTAGAGTCAGAACCATAATATTTCTCACTGTGTGCTAAGAGGAGAATTTACATATAATTTCTTTGAGTGTAAAGAACTGACACATTCATCTTTAACAGCACCGAAAATCCTGTCACAGTATCCAGGTTTTATTAGGCATGGTCAATTTGACTGAATTCCTGAATATCATCAAATCCACATCAGAAACATATGAATTTTTTAAAAAATGATTTTCAAGTTCTCAAACTTTGTGAAATACTGTTTTTACAACCCACAAAATCAATAATGGCAACTTAAGGTCCACAGTTTGCTGTAGTGTAAACATTTCTTGTTGTATCTAAGAGATAAGTGAAGGAAATATCTTAATTATAAACACCCGAGTAATATATAAATCAAAATTATACAGGACACTTTGTGTTAAATAAAGGCATATCATAATTAGTTCTCTATACCAAAGTTACCATAACAACAATTCCTGGATGATTAAAATAAAAACCAGGCTTTCTTTTTACAAATAATGGACATAAATTTAATGTCAGATATGTCTATTAATGTGCATATCTGACATTAATCTATTAAAGAATTATCTTAAAATTATATAATTATGTAAGTTGTATAAATAAGCCTAGTGCTTCATTTACCTTATGAAATAAAAATATACCCATTTCTCTATGCCATGTCTCTTGGACACATTTTATTTTAGACATTATAAAACTTCCCATATGATGATACTAAATTTTAATTGTGGATTCCTCCAGACTTATAGCAGTATGATACATTTATCATGGTTTTAACAGTTAAAGTATCATTTTCATTTTACTGGGCTTATATTTTGTTTTTAGAAATCTAATTTATCAAAAGTCTAATCAATTCAGAAATAGTTTTAAAAGAAAATAATGCAAAATATGCATAGACTTGTCTTTGTGACTGAAGACTGTGAAAGAAGAGAGAAAAGCAGGGGTTAAAAATTATCTTTCTACCACCCACACGCCCATAGACTTTGGGAGGAGGCTCCTTTCATACTTTTTCTCACTGTGGTACGTGTTACTTAAGGAAGTCTGTAGGTGGATAAGATGTTATTATCCCTCCTACACACACACTTTTTTTGTATTTACAACATTAAATCTCTCTTTCTCTCACTACATACACACACACACACACACACACACACGAAACACTAACCCTTTTCAACTACTTTCTGAAATTTTTGAATTTCACACATTATCACACATTACCTTTCTATAGAATGCATATATAGTTATAGTTTATGCTGAATTTTTTCAACTTCTAGTCCATTCAAAAAGCTTATTTGCTGTAGATAGTTACATTTCTAACTAAACATTTTTCTTTGAAAACAGAATTCCATAAACAACGTGTCTTAGGTTCATAACTAATAATATAAAATTATTCTTTGTATTGATGAATTTTCGTAAGTACTTAAGGAGAATACAATCACTGACAGGGGGAGAGCTTAGCTTATTATGCAGCATTTGTTTCTTTTCAATCTACAAATTACTTATGTGAATGAATGCACGGTGTAGATCACGTTGGAGACACAGTAAACATGTTTCACCTAAATAAAATTAGCCTTTCAAATTTTTTCATCTGAATAAATACATTGACAGTTGGATTTTAAAACCTCCTATAAAATGTATACTAACAAGTTAATATAAATTTTAAGAAACCTTTATATTGCTTTTATATTGTAGTAAAAGTGTTTCCTCAAATGCGGTAAATGACTGTTGCACTCTTAGGCAAGTAAGTGAAACTTAAATTATTTTTTAAATAATCAGATCTAATTTTCATTGCTAACGTAATAGTCATTTATCTAAAAAGTAAAGAAAAATCTAAACAAGTAAAAATTGATATATTTTAAAGTGACTTTGGATTTGGAGGTTAACATGATATCATTTGGAGGTTAAATGATTTATGACAGTCACACATATAAGGGTTTTGCAAATAAATTTGATCCCTTCATTTTTCAGATCAATACATTCACTTGGGAATTATATTAACTTTTGCTAAAATAAATGAAAAATATAATCATTAACCATAGAAAGTGATCACAAAGATGCCCCAATTATTAATTAAATACACATTATTGAGAATACATTCTATAGAGACCATTTAGAAAAATCATTAGCTAGAATTGTTAGATTAACTAATCCCAGGTAATTCAATCATTCATGGGTAATTCAAAGGAAACTGATTCTGAATCCTCTGATACCTTGGAAAAAGGGACTCTGTCAGAATACAAAGACAAGTCCATCTTCTGTATAGAAGAAGTAATGAGCCAAATATATTTTATATACAACCCAATGGATATGTGAAGTGGAATTGTGTGGGTCATTCTAACCTAGGTTTTCAGGTTCAAGTTATTAAGCTTTTTGGGCATCTTGTAATACAGTAAAAAAGTCAAGAAATTAAATACATTAGTATTTTAGAGCAAAGTAATACAAAAAATTTTTAAAGTAATTCATAAAAAATAAAACTGTTCAGTCTCTTATTTAAAAAATAGTTAATGCCATTAAGAGTAAATATTCATTAGTGCAACTTTCAGAGAAATTATTTTAAAAACATATGCACAAAGGTGAAATTTTATTTGACTTCACTTAGAAAAGCATTTTGGGAAATTTATGATGCAGATTCAAACCACAAATAAAATCTTATCAGTAGGTACATCAGATCAAATTTTAAAAGTTTCTGACTCTCTTATTTTATACACTTATTAAACACAATGAGAAATAAACCAGGCAATAAAAGACAAATACCATATAATCTCACCTACAAGTAGAACCTAATCAAAAAACAAACAAGTGGGCAAAATAAACCAGAGACATGGAAATAAAGAACAAACTGACAGTTACCAGAGGGAAGGAGGGAGGAAGATAAGAGGGGAAAAAAAGGGAAGGGTTGTTAAGGAACATGTACAAAGGACCCATGGACAAAGACAACTAGGGGGGCAAGGATTGAATGTGGTAGGGTGGGGTAGGGAGGGAGGGTGAGAGTAATGGGGGAAATGGGGACAACTGTAATTACTCAACAATAAAAATAAAAGTAATTTAAAAACACACAATGAAATAATGAAAACATATATGTACCTTATTTAAGTAAAAATGAATACAAATTAATTTAATCAAAGAAGTAAAGACACCAACTTATTTTCATTGGTCTAAGTTTTTTTCCTAATTTTTAATTTTTATTTCATTTTTTTATTTTAGAGAGAGGGGAAGAGAAGGAGAGAAACATACATGTGAGAGAGAAACATCAATTGGCTGCCTTCTGTATGAACCCCAACTGGGGACTGAACTTGCAACCCAGGCACGTGCCCTTACCGGGAATCCAACCAGCGACCTTTGGGTTTGCTGAATAATGCCCAACCAACTGAACCACACTGGCTGGCCATTGGTCTAAATTCTGTTTAGTTTTTTACTTTCCTTTAATAAGCTCAGTCTCCTTTAGTGTCAATCTTTAATTTAATAATTAAGACCCTGTTTACAAAATAGTTATATATGTGTTAAATTAATACCTGGTAATCGATAGCAATACTATAAAACAGATATTTAAATGGTTTCCTCATGAGTTATTTTTGCCCTGTCAAATGTGCTCAAAATCTTTTGTTGAAAAGTTTTGACATGCATATCTATTTCAGAGATGATCCAGACACAAACAAATAAACAATGAAGATTAGTTGGAGACAAAATTCTTAAGTATAATTTATAAATATATCAAATAATTTGCATAGTATATACATTTATTTAACCAAGAGAATAATAGTTTTTTGTTTTTTCCTTTCCTAAAATGTGACTTGTGAATTCCTCTAAGATATCTACAATGACAAGTATATAAGTAAATATCTATAAAACATCTAAATATAAATCCTTAAATATATAAAAAGACATCTCCTACCTCCATCTCCAGATCCGGATCCTGCATCTGGGAGAGAAAAATAAACAACTTTGTTTTTGCTTGAAAAACATTTTAAAAAATATTTATGACTCTTTTTAGTTCATGTTTACTTTCTTCAATAAGATAGTGATATAATTGAGAAAATTAAGAATATTTACCCTGAAAATGTGTATTCACATCAATTTAATTTAACTTCTACAGCATAACTTATAAAATAAATGTTCTATTATTTATATGCTTAAACTTTATAAAAGAGAGGATTCTCTAGCTTTAAAATAATTCCTAAACTTCACTATGTAAAGTCTCACATGTTTATTTTAATGACAAATTTGGTGCCAGTAACAAAAAAATTGAAAATGAGATGCTTATAGTAATCAATGAGATTTAAACATTAAACAGTCTACGATAGGTAGCAAATAAAGTCATAATTAAGATTTTTATTATGGATAAATCACATATGCATAAAAATAGTTTAAAAATAAATATATTTTTATATAAGTGTTAATATGTTTCCAAATACCACAGTTGTGGATGAGTCTATCTGACACCAAGAGCATCTTTTGTTTTTGAAATCAGTAGAAGCGTGAGGTTAACTTTGCCTTTGGCTTAAAATTGAATATACCTAGGATGATGTTCACAATAGAAAAAAAATCCCTTAGGCATATTTCTTTCTTCATTTCTTCTCATCTCTCTCTCCTACATAATTACAACTGGTCAGAGTTGTCTATTTCTGAGAACTCAGTTCTCAGAAACATTCAATTTTGTTATTGGAGTCAACACCATTGAGTTTACATCTGCTTCCACCTGTTAAGTGTAGACATTGTCTTCTTTCTACTTCCCTATTCTTTCCATTCAAAGTACATTTGGTCATGTATTTTTGATGTTACTACTGGGAAATAAAAGACTAATACTAGTATTCTCTGTCTGATATGCCCTCACTTAACATTGAAATCTCAACCAGAGTTTAAGAACTATATCAAATGCTACTTCTATAAATTTACATTTGGTGTTTTAGTCCGAATTAAAATAAAACATTACTTCTACTTGTTTGTCAGCATGGCACTGTCCTAAGAGGCACTGCATGGAAAGAGGCATAGCACAGAAAATCCACAGAAGGCTGACACATGTGAAAGAACAGATGCCTCCCCGATAGCCGCCCTCGTTATGTTAGGCTTTAGCACTTCCATGAAAGAGCAGTAGTTTGAATTGTCAGCCTTGGTGGAAACTCATATTAACTAAATCCACAGGGTCCAACACTGTATAAAATCAGAATACCAAGTCTTCAACTAACTGCTAGTGTGACTAAGACTTGTGTCTCTGGGCCACAATATCCTTTCCTTAAAAACAGGCTAGTTGGTAAAACAATTTATAATAAAAAAACCTTTCCTGGTAAGTATAGAAAAAAAGATTTTAGTCATATGATCTGACTATTTAATGATAGTAGATCAAGAAGGTTGATGCATTCATCTTCATAGTAGAATAGTCTTGTTAACTGAACTGATAATCATAAGTCACGGCCCTATCACTTTTGGAGAGGAAAATGCCTGAATAGTCAATGTGTATCAGGTCTCCTTTTAATATATCTTCACAACTAAAATTTTAACTGGTTTGAATTAATTTGAAAGTTAATTCAGTATCACTTATAATAATCAAGGACTAATAACAGGTTATACTAGTATAGCACTAATACATTCTGCCTGTGTTTTAGTTAAATGTGTATAGTTTCTTATTTTCTTGTCACTAAGATGGTAAACTTTTTTACCTCAAGGTCCATGCTTGTTCAGCTTCCTATACGTACATGCATTTATGAAGAAATGCATAAAAGATTAAGGATTTCAAGCTATAATCTTTAGGACGTTACTCATTGGATGGCATAAGAAATGTCATTCAACCCTCCTACTAAGCTTATTCAGTCTATTGAATGACTATAATAATGTGTATTACATTTGGGCTATTTTGAGGATTACTACACAATAGCATTTTTAAAATCCTTATCACTGTGTCTGGAACATAATAATTAAAAATTTGAATGAACATCTTGCCTGTTCATCTATAGGTTTTCTAATAAATGCATAATGCTGGGGAAAATCAAGAAAATAGCAGTAGAATTTTGGCTTGTATTTCCCATGTATGTTTCCAAAAATTCATGCAGTATGGTTCTTAAGACAATTTGCATTTGATTTGACACATATTGTGTATTTAGAAAAGAAAGGAGGAATACATTTTTTAAAGTCACTTAAGCTCATGGCATCATTATGAAATAGTTATGGAAAGGTTTAATGATTTGCCTACTATGAGATAAGTTATCTTGACAAACAAGAGATAAATAGCTTACTAAAACTTATTAGAGAGAGAGGAATACCTAAGAAAAGAAGTCATGTGGTTAGACTTGAATCTGGGCTCCCAGTTAATACATTTCTTATAAGGCAGAGAAATAAAATTGACAGTGAGGCTATTGACCAGACTTCCCAATAGAAACCCACTTTCTAGACAAAAGAAAAATGATGTTTAAGTTCAATGAAATACGGTGTAGGCAAAGTAGGTTTAAAGTTGTCTATATAATTAATACAACAGCTTTTTTGACTCTGTGTTTTGCATACTCACAATTGTAAACCTATTTTTGCCTACTCCTGTAATAAAGTTATATCTTTTACTGTCTTTTATTCCTAGAGGTCACAAATTGCCACCTCCACTCAGTGCCAAACAGCATTTAAAATAAATGGCAAATGTATGGAGAAAAAAGTAAGAATCGCTTTTAGATCAAAAGTCAGAACTCCAATTTACACATAGTCACACTGAGTTAATCAAAGTTACTTTAGTCCCTCTGTCATTATTGAGATCAAAAATCTTTTTGATTTACAAGTCAATGGAAGATGCATGCAACAAAACTGGCTTACTAATTAAATCTTGAAGAAATCTAAGTCTGTGAATGCCCTAGGGATGGCTTACTCAATTGTGACTGAATTTTCCACTTGGTTAAGTATTTATTTCTATAGTATAACCAAAACATTAGGGACTAGAATGGAAAGATTTGAATGAACCAGAAGAATGCAACTGCATATTGCTGACAAGAACTCTGAGGCTGACAAGAGAGATTTTGCTACTAAATGCTGTTAGCCATAATCATAACTTTGTGACTGTTTATTTTGAGGACTGTCTACTGATTCTCATTTGGCTATTGTCAGAGACAGACACCCTACATGATCTTGAATGAGCAAATCCTTTCCTTAGCACTCTCTGGTATTTGCCTACATCATTCCTCATTTCTGGGAGTCAGAGCTCTTTTTGTTTTTGTTTTTTCCTATCCCATTTGTCCTAAAGTTTCATTTTTCACTTTTTGTTCGGTAGGTATGGTACATTGATTTTTCATAATTTGTTTGCTCTTTGCCATTCTTTCTAGTTCCCCCATCCTTACTCTGAGAGTAGCATGCTAGCCCTCCTCCTTTCCCACAGAGGAAGATGGTCCAGAACTCTCACTTGTTGCTGTGACTTTCACTCATTCCTTCTCAGTTGCAAGTCAACAGCGACGATCTGCTTGCTCTGGCAGGTAAGAAGTGGAGCACTAGTCCAGTTTGCCTCCCAATCACCCTCCCAGAAGGACATTTGCATTGTGAGGCAAAGAATCATGTAGGTGAAAAAACTACTTAAAACCTAAAACCAAATGCAGAGAGCCTGCATAACTGTCCATGAGGAATGATGCTTTTCTGTTTCCCTAATTCTTAGGAACTTTGATAGTTTCCAGTACAACTGAGAACATTATCAATTACTAGTCATCAATAGGCTTAAGGTAATCTTTTAGGGAATGGGACTTTTCTCTTTGCTCATTTACCACCTTGCCCTTGCCAGCACACACATAACTTTTAACTTAATTCATCAGAATAGAAATACTTGTTATCTAAGAGATAATTTTCAATAAAATAGACCTACCTGGGCACTATTCTATATTTCTACTTTTGATATGTTTAATATCATTATTTTTCTGAACATGTCTATATCATCCAACTCTTTAGAATCGATATTCCAGAAAGATACATATTTGCCATTAAGGATAACTATCATGGGACACTAAAATTTCTTTAATATATGTGATTTCAATGCCTCAAGTCTGATTTGAAAACTCAGCTTTGTTTTAAAGCACTACTTCATCAAGTTAGGCTCTGTTCCTCTTGTTTGTTTTCCTTCTTTCCTGTAATGCTGTTCACTCTGACCACCACTGTACACAAAAGGAAAACCTGAAAAGCTAGAGAGCATATAAAGTCAGTCTTCCTCCTCACTTTTTTCATAGCATTATTTGTACACTTTAACTACAAAGCTTTGTGGAATCTTAGGCTGACTGGGTCAGAAATGACAGGTGTCATAGAAGTAATGCCTACCATCAATACAGCTTTCAAAACAATCTACTAAAGGGCAGGAAAATCATTTTGTAGAGCTGCTATGGTTAGCCACATCTTAACTTCCAAACCCAGATCTGCAAAGCTCCCTTCCAGTAGGCAATGCTATTGTTCAAAACAAACAGACAAACAAGTAAATGTGCTCATGCATAGACAGGTTTGTATACATTTGACACCTGGGTACTCAATGTACATTTATAATTATAGTATTCAATTGCCTTCACTTCATTAAATAACATATGTATTAAAATCTACCAATATCCTTAGTGTAGATTTTTCTCTTTCTTTGGGAAGTGATTTGAAATGCAAAAAGATATAAAATAAAAATAATGCATACTTTGTACAAAGGAATAAGAGGCTTGTCTAGCCAATATATAGTCTGAATTATTTATCTCAAGATAACAGAAAGAGCAAGAGACATAATTTTTGGATTTAGAATTCATTGAGAAGGTTTAAGGAGGATCACACACATACCTGTGGCACACGATCCTTCAGACATCACAAGGATCTCGCTCTGCTGTTTGCAGGCAGCCTGCCGCAGGTAACACTCATTCTGGTAGCTCTCCCCATTGGAGCCACACACAGGCACGTAGTCATTGTTGCACTGAGAAGCACACAGATATAATCCTATGGTTAGTACTGGAGTCTGAGGGCCTCTTACTTCCTGAACAAAAATAATCATTTACAATAGAAAGCTTTTGTCTTCTTTTTCAGTGATCCTCACTGTAACCAATAAGTACTTGACCTTGCAGGGGAATCATTTAAAGAAACACAAAAGCAATGTCAAGTCAGCCAACCGGTCATTTAATTCAGATGCGGGGGGGGGAGCAGCTAAATTGATCAGGCAATTCCAACAAAGTGATCAGAGAAGCAATACTAAAAGGAGATACCAACAAATATATCAATATTATTTAATACTATTTTTGGAAAAAGCAAAACATGCTACAATATTAAAGCTATTCAAAAATAGGCAATGTCTGTGTTTGGACAGCAAAAATGTATAACTGAAATGCCAGAGAATTCAGTTACCCTTTAGCGTGTTTTTTCTCTGTTGAATTTTAATCTTTATTTCTAAATGTTTGGATAAGACATTTGGATTACTACTTCATTCTCATTATATCATTATATCATGAGATAATGATGTAGATACAGTGTAGAGAGAAATAGACTAAGAAATACAGGGAAAAAATTCAGCAACTACTGAACTACATGTAAACTTCACTGACTATTCAAAAGTATGACTATCAATATATTTCATAAAGAGAAAAGTTCATTTTAAAAACAGTCATTGCAAAAAGTACATATTTTACAATGGAAAATAGGCAACCTACAGGGTATACTCATCATAGTATAATCGCAGCCTGAGGCATTAGAGACACTTGGCTGAGTCCTGTACCTGCTAACTGTGCCAGAGATGTGATTATCTCATGATTACTACCACACATGTGCTTCATTGATTAATTATAACACAAACAATGACAAAGTTGATTAGCTATAAATACTCACCTATGCCAGAAACTGAGTAAGGCAAATCATACATACACATGTATGTGAAAACACTTTGCTGTCTTTTACTTCTTATTAAAATATTTGGATACTTAATGTGTCATAAATGCGTAATATTTTGTATTAAACCAATGATCTAGTGAGATGGCTGAAAAAGTTTTAATATATACGATAACAAACCTAAAGTTCTATCATAAGTCAAATTCAACTCAGGGATTTGTCCTGAGGTTTATATTGTACTCTATTGCCTTACAATATCTGTACTTTGTCCTCCCCAGTCGACCATCTTGCTCTTTGCCTTTATGTAATATAGGATTAATCATACTAACAACTTAAAGTGGCATAAACCAATGCTCTGTGAAATGGAAGTCATTTTAGGAGCCTAACTTTGTATTAATTAATGAAAAATTTAAATATAATGTTTTACTAACAGTGATATATTTTTCTGCCAGTAGTAAATCCAAATTCCATGACACTAATATTATGATCACCATAAATGCTAGCAAGGTGATTTAGATATTAAATAATATTCATTTAAATATTATATTATGATTTAAATATTTAAAATACGGCATATTTTAGAAATCTTCTTTATTTCAACAGTTTCTAATTTAGACATTCTGGAAGCCCTCTATACAACAATTCCTTTCTACAGTTACACTACTGGCTCCCAGACTCAGTCCATCTACATGATTATATTTTAAACACACTGTTTTGATTGGAAGTTTTTGCTCATGAGGATCTTTAATTCAATAGCAATTCACTTCTGACCAGGTGATACATGTGTAGTGGCAGCTTTCCATATGTTTTCCAAATATATATGCTTATATCTGAAAACTGACCAACTGAAGGACTGAACATCTTTATCATTACTGAAGAAAAAAGGCAATAGAAAAATGTCAGTGAAGAGCTGAATTTTCCATGAGCAATGCTGAGACAACACCACATAGATAGTTAAAACCACGGCCAGGTGGTTGGATAGGGTGTTTGACAAAGGTGGTATGTTCAGGACCAGAGACAGGAGAATATAAGGGCGATTTATGAGAACTCACTAGCACTACAATGATATCTGAGCACATGGAGGAGAGACTATAAAGAAGTAAACAGCTGGTAACATTATACTCAATAGATTTGAGTACCCTTTCAGTAGACAGAAGAGAGTCATAATCAGGGCAGATGACTGGACTACTTAGCTTTTATGCTGGGTTTCTAGCATTCTTGTCACTGGTTATCTTTTAATCTCTGTCCCCGATTTTGGTTGCAATACTTTGTGTGTTGATTATTGGCATCCACATTTTCTTCTCTCTGATTCCAAGAATTTCCCTATTTATCATTGTCATCTATTTCTGCAGATTACTCAGATGTAGTGAGTGGACTGGGAGTGAAGTGTGGGAGGTATTTATTATCTCTGTCAAGTGCTAGTACATAATGCTGATATGCATCTTAAAATATGAAATAAGTGGATAAAATACTCATATGCCACTTCTGAGGGATGGAGCAAGCCAAATGTGAGCAATGCTAAAAACAGAGCTACTAAGTTCCAAGCACAAGCCAACAGGGAGATTTGTAAGGAGCTGAAAAGAATTCAACTGTAGATTATCAACAAGATGGATTTTGCCCTTCAGTACCATGATTTGCACTCATCAATATGAGTAACACAGAGGAAGCATACTCTACCAAGAATGTCTGATCTTTTGGAATCTCTGGGCCACACTGGAAGGACAAGAGTTGTCTTGAGCCCCACATTGAATACATTGTGACATGTAATCACAAAAAAATCTATAATATTTTATGTAAATTGACCATTTTGTGTTGGGCTGCATTCACAGTCATCCTGGGATGCATGTAGCCCAAAGGCCTCAGGTTGGACACACCTGTAACAATTAAGGCTCAGGAGTGGAAGCCTGGTCCTAGGTTCTCCCACTTCTCTCACTGCCTTGGTGTAGGACTTGGTGTATATTACTCAAGATAATTCTTGAATATTATAAAATGTTTAACAAGTTTATAGCTCAGTTTCCCCATTTGAAATGGCTAACTGGAGCATTTAGGAGGATTAGCAGAGTTGTGTTTTTAAAACACTTTGCAATATTCATTTATAAAAGGAAATAAAAATGATTTGCCTTTCATGATATGTATTTTTGCTAGCAGTCACCACCATCTAAAATTGACACTAAAACATGCATGTCTACAATTAGAAAAATAAAGGAAAACAGTATAACCCTAGTATAAAAATAGGCTAACTACTACATTAAAATATGTCAAGTTGTTTGAAATAGTTTTTAGTGGTAATCATGATACTGCTCAGTTTCAGATGAAGGGACATATTCAGATGTTAAGTGACTTGTGAAAGGCTACATAGTTGGCTGGCAAGAGAAAAAACAAGACTCAGGCCCAGATGGTTAGGCCCATAAATGTATGTGTTGTACAAACTTCCTCTCAGGGAAAAAGTGATTCTATTTTTTGTAAGATGTTTTAAAATCTTAAATTTACTTTACAAATATGTGTTTTTTAGAATGATTTTGTTCCCAAATGCCCACATTGCTTAAGAAAACAGCTACATGCCACATGGGTAGATGCAATGACTTGATACTCTAGAATATATGGAATTCATTTTGCTACAAATTAACAAAGGATTTATATGGGAAGTTTTTCATGTGATTTATACATGCTTGGTTAATAAGAATTTTATTTAACTGAGATTTTGGTACCTCGTAACTATGCATAACTCATATTTTGTTATTGTCCACACCTTCCACACAGTCTGGCATGTAGAAGGTTCTCTACAGATGTTAAGTGAATTCTGCTATATTCCTAGTTGTCAAAGTTTTAGGGACAATGACTTAAAATATGGTATGTTTCTTGGTCAAAAGAGAACAAGATAAAAATCCCACATATGTCCCAATCCTTTGATCATTCCACAGGTATCTTCTATTTCTCTGTGACTACATTTCCTTATGTGGAAACATTTTTAGGGTTTTAAGAGTGGGCAGTTTGTGACTAGGGGGAAAGCAGCTCTCTGACTCCCAAGACTAGAGGCTAGGTCATCACAGGATACATCACAGGATACGGCTCTTTCTGTCTCTCTGGATGCCTGTCTGAAACCCAGCCAACTGTGCTGTGAGGAAGCCCAAACTAGCCCACAGAGTTAGATCCACATGGAAAAGGACCAAAGTTCCCAGCCAACAGTCAGACATAAGAGTGAGAACTCTGAGCTAAGTATAGAACCAAACCTTTGAGTTCCCTGCCTCACCTCAGCTAATGCCAGAGGGAACAGAGATGAGCTGATACCATTAAGCCATGTCCAATGGCAAATTCTTGAACAAAATAATGTTCCCTGTTTTGTGCCACTAGTTCTGGAAAATTGGTTAGGCCTAGTACATAGGAAAATTGCAGATCTAAAGCATGGTTTATTAAATAGGTTTTCAGGAACAACGACAAAAAAACACATGGACAAAACCAGTGGCGGGGGGTGGAAGGAAGAGAGGGAGGTAGGTTTGGCTGGGGTGGGGGGGAGTGGCAAGGGGTAAATGCAGACAACTGTAATTGAACAACAATAAGATAATTAAAAATATATTTAATGTTTGAATAAAGTAATACTCAAAATATGTTTTCATCGTATTTTAAAATTATAATCTGATAATTGATAATTATTTGACCAGTGCAATATATGAAAAACTATATGCCTTCTTTTCTTCCCTCCATCCTTCCTTCCTTTTTTTCCTTTTCTTTCTATTTTCCTTTCATCCATCTTCCCATTCATCCATCTCTATATCCATCCATCCACCTATCTGTTCATTTATCCACCCACCAACTGTTTCTAAATTTTCATACCCACAAATGATTTACCAGATTGACTAGCACACCGTTTGCTGTGTAGATAGGAATGTAGGATATACGAAGTTGAAGCCCACTTCTGAAACTCATATCATCACCTAAGAATTAGTTGAATTACTTTTGACATTAAAACTTCTCCACAATAAATATGTACTTTTGTAGTTGCTACTGATGTTTTTATTTGGAAATATCATGTCCTGGAAAAAAATAGATTTGGTGTCAGAGGACCTCAGTTCTTGCTTTAGGATCACCACTCAGTGGTAAGTTATTTGTATTTATGGGCCTTAACTTCCTCATTTTTTTAAAAAAGGAAAATAACTATTTCACTCAGTTGTGAGAAATAAATGCGATCCATCAGTCCTGCCTTACCGATGGCTTCTGTTACCTGTAGTTAACATCCATTCAAAAATATGAAATTGAAAATTCCTGAAATAAACAATTCATTACTTTTCAATTGTGTGTTTTTCTAAATAGAGTGATAAAATCTCAGGCCAACCTGCTCCATCCCACTGGGATGTGAATCACCCCTCTGCCCAGCATCTCCATGCCGTGCACGCTCCCTGCCCGTCAGTCACTTAGTATTGTCTTGGTTATCAGATCAAATGTTGAGGTACCACAGTCCTTGTGCCCAAATCACTCTTATTTTCCTTTATAATGACCCCAAAGTTCAAGGGTAGTGATGTTGGCAATTCAGAGATGACAAAGAGAAGTCATAAGGTGCTTCCTTTAAGTGGAAAGGTTAATACAGCACTGTAAGATATTTCGTGTGTGAACGAAAACACATGAGTATAATTTGTATTTATTGTTGTTAATCTCTTACTGTGCCTAATTTATAAATCACACTGTCATAGGTATGTATGTGTAGGAAAAGGCATAGTAATGTATAGGGTTTAGTACTACCACTAGTCTCAGTCCCACGAGGATGTGAGGGCCTACTGTAATATGTTTGAAGGGTAGAATACATTTATTTTAAATTATCTAAAAGAGGTGAAGGCAATTCTATGTTCACTTTAGTGCTTCAACAGTAGTCCAAATTGGAAAACATTATAGGTTATAAACACACACATTCATTAATCTTTGAAATTTCTCTATCAGCCAAAAAGATCATAGTGTGTAGCTTATTTGAATGAAAGAATTATGACCTCATGTCTTTCAGAATAGCACACAGAAAAATAGATTTTCAGAATATCTCTCTTTTCATCAGATACTGAGAATTAAAAAAAAAAAACAAATTCCCTGAAAAGTATTGGAAAGGCCTAACTTAAGATACTCCCAACCAAAAACAGCTTATCTATTATTTTTGGTACAGTTTGTACATTTTCTTTGATCATCAACTTAATTCAGACACTCTAGTTCAAGGTTTGTGCAGAGTTTAATTTTTCCACTAGAGAAATGTTCATTTTTCTCCTGACACACTGACAACGATTGTGAAGCACAAGCTAATAGCAGCAGTAATCTAGTAACAAACTTAAAATGTTACAGGCATTAGGAAAAGAAAATTTACATTTTAGTTTCTGATTTAAACTTGTAGTCATTGCCCCCCCCCCATCCAAACTATCCCACTCAACAATTATTTAACTAAATGACAAATTTAACTGGTTGACCAATGCATGAAAAACATGAATATATTGTTGATAAAAGTTTTACCAACATCCTTTGTGGAACCTGAAAATTGAGTACCATTTTTTTAAAAAGAAAATTATGCATTTTCTTTTAGTAGCATGTGTCCTCTTAGAATTTTGCGAACTTTTTTTCTTTGTTAAATCTTGTTAGAATTATGGCTTTCCATTTGAGAAATATTTTTCTTGATCTACTTTACACTGTTTATGAGCTCACTTCTTATGTCTACCCTTGGTTATGAAAATAAGGGAAATTTATAGGAATCACACACTGAAAGCAGAAGAAATCCACAAAATCCTGTGGGCCATTAACTAATGAATTGCCCAACTGTATTTTTCCTTTAGTTAACATTTGGGGAAAGAATGAATTGGAGAATTCTCATGCTCTATCTCTCTCGTGCAGTTCATTGAAAGACCATAATTACACTGTCGATGTGGCTGGAGGTCTTACAGGTTGGTGTCACATGCACATTAAATATGCAAGTATATGTCTGTAAAACTATAGAATTGTCTAAAATATTACAGTATGGTCATAGCAATACTTACCCACCAGGAGGTAGTGTGCTTTGCAAGTATCAGTTTTACTGCTTTTTTTAGAAAGAAAAAAAGTACTGTCCAAGAAGCTTTTAGCTTATCTATAAGCCAAAGTATATTTAATTGTAAATTTTCTTAACTCTCTCAAAGAAAGATTGAATTTGATCTAAAATATTTAAATTTCATCAATAATCTAAATATCATACACCACAATAAATATTTAAACCTTAATTTTATTTTAATGTTTTTATTTTCTTTATATCCTTTTAAAATTTTTTAGTTTTGCTTACAATCTTGGAAAAGTTTCCACTGATCCCACATAGTTCATTTATGCACAGAACTTTATGTTAGAACTCATGTGTATTTAAAGTAATTCACTAACACCCAAAGGTGAATGAATATAAGACATTATTAGTATGACATTGGTGATATTTGAAAGTATATATGATTATATAAACATTTTCAGAGAAATGAAGGTTTATAATTTACATGGTAGAAAATATTTGTTAGATGATGACTATTGAGAGTTCTATTTTTTAATAGTTACTAGTAATCTAGTTTTGATGATAACATCACTACAATCTCTCTCTCTTTTTATTTTTATTTATTTTTTAACATGAGCCAAAGTACACCTTTCTCATGTTCGTAAAATCACTTGTGGCTATTTGTGCTCTTTTGGATTTCTGGGAGACCCCATTTTAATTGAATATGGTACCCATGGAGCATTGACACATATGAGCAAACTCCATGATTTCTAAAACTAGCACAGTAGTTTTGAAGTCACATTAAGAAGGAGTTCATTTAAAAACTTAACCAGACTGCCAAGATAATAAAACACAAGACCATTAAAAGAAAACAATATGATCAAAAGATGAAAGTCCCAACCAAAAAGAGCAAAACTACAAATCCACACTTATCCACTGGTTATTGACTATTATCCTCAGTAGTTGGCTTATAAAATGCATGCTAAAAGAGACACAGAAACATAATTTTCTTTTGACATGCCAAAGGAACAACCTGAACCTCTGTACCTCTACAGCATTTATAACTGTGTCATATGCACTTCTCCCCCAAAACTATGCCTCCTTGACATTGGTTGGCTCTCTCACCAGTACTTTGCTTGGTGCCAGCTTTCCTTTTAGCTTGCATAGCTATAAATTGCCAAGTGATGGGTTGTAAAGGGACATCCTTGCTTTGTAGTTCCTTAATGAATTAGAAGGTGCAAATATCAGACTTCTTACCTTGAACTGACAGACGCAAGTCACAGTGTCTCCAATTCTTAAACATTCCCCATCAAATTTACAGGTGTTGGTGTCACAGAGGAAGAGATCATTTTCTCTGTCATCATAACCTCAAATTTAAAGAAAATACCCCAGTCATTTAAAAATGTCATAGACTTTAAGAAAAAATAGTGATTTCTTGAAACTTTAAAAAGAATTACCCAAAATTTTAATTCTGACAACCACATATGTATTGCAAGGTCATTCTACAGATAACCTAAAAAATTCTTGTTAAGTAATCAATATTTGTTTTTTTCAGAAATTCCTTTCTAGTCAGTTCTTTCTTAATATCCTTTTTTTGATAGTGCTATTTTACTTTAGCTTAGGTTAATACTGGCAGTGCTGAATGAATGTTCAATGTTTGTTTCCTAGCTTCCTTATTTTTTTCTCATCAGGTAGACTATAGTTTATGACCCCCACTCTCCACATTTTATTTAAAAAAACTGGTGATGATCCCTGAATGCCTTTTTACCATTTCTGTATCTTTAATCATTCTTTTGCTTTATGGTCTGAAACAACCTCTTATTTGGAATTTCTCCAGACAAAGAGGAAACAAAGCCCCAATAATAAAGATAAACAGGCACAGTGTTTTCTGTGATGGTCTGTCTGGCTCAAATGAAGATTGATCACCTCTAAGTTAACAGGGGTGGGGGCGTGGGGGTGCCAGGGCCTTGACAGTCAGCCTGGAAAACCAGTTCATTCTCTTTAGTTTCTGCAGACCCCTTTAAGATATCTGGTTAATAATGAATTTCTTCACTGCCAACCTCAATTTCACATTTAAGTTAGTTATTACTTAAAATAATACTACAATTAAGGATGAAGCAAACTAGTCATATGGACTACAAAGCTATCAACATTTCAAAAAATTGGTTTTACAGGTTGTTTAATATTCCTCTGATAAAGTACTTGAAAAGTGATCAGGCACCTGCTAAGTAGAAATTTGTCTTTCTGAAATAACATAATGCACATGTGAACCACAAGTAAGTTAAAGAAAACATGTTGAGTTTTTTAAAAAATGGCAAATTTAGAAATTGTTAAAAAACAGAACAAAGGCAATCTATTGACCCAAATCTAATAGGGTTGCAAAACTTAACTTGTATTTAAAAAGCACAAACTACAATGATGTATAAATTTTTCCTCATGGAATTTATATCACTAACAAGCCAGGACTACATATTCTTTCATCCTATAAGTTACAGTTGGTTATTACGTTTTCTCCAAAGTTACATACACTTCTGCTCACCACACATCCTTTGAAAACCCCTTTATTTACAGCCAGATTTAACTACAGAAAGATCATACTTAGAGAAGATGAAAAATCACATACACAGTAGCTAAAACTGGAACATATCATACCTAGGGAACAATACCAACGCGTGTTAATGGAGTTTAAAATGCCAGTGAAATCACACCACAATTCCTCCTGGTATACTAAGGGCTGTCATACTGAAATGTGAAGCCAGCTCAGAGTGCAGCAACTTCCATCCGCGGGCCCTATTTCATTAGGAGGTTTCAGCAATGCAAAGCCTGCCAAGCTCTGGCGTTCAGACTCTGAAGGGACCCAAGCGAGAAGGAAGAGCGCCTGATTCACTCCTAGGAACTGTGTTCAGAAATGGAGGAGTCAGCGCCCAAGGGGTCGGTTCCGTTCTCCGCATGGTTGCCTGTGAGCCTGGCTGGCCTTGGGCATGCCCACCCCGGCCTGGGAGACCTAGGAATGATTGTTTTTCAACTTCCCTCCACCATCTAGGAGCTCTCGGAGGCAAGAGAGAGGCATCTGTGGGCTGCCAAAACAATGTCTTTTGCAGCCAAGGAGAGAGAGTGAGAGGGAGAGGGAGAGGGAAGGAGACAGAGAGAGAGAGAGAGAGAGAGAGAGAGAGAGAGAGAGAGAGAGAGAGAGAGAGAGAGAGAGAGAGAGAGAGAGAGAGAGAGAGAGAGAGAGAGAGAGAGAGAGAGAGAGAGAGAGAGAGAGAGAGAGAGGAGGTTGGGATTGAATCTCGTGAAATCAAGCTCCTTTAGAATCTGCGTGACCCGGACTAGTGCACTTTTGCCAGGAACCAGTGTTTCCCCTGCAGTCACCATTTGATTTATTGCTTTCTTGGTCGTTCTTTCTCATAAAGTTATCTCTAGCCCATTCTAGCAGACTTTTTTCTTTAATGATGCTAAAGATTCGGTTTTAGTGTTTCCCCAAGGATTGATGCTCTTTTCAGCGAGCCCACAAAGCCATCCCGTTTAATATTTCTTAAAATCTTCGCCATTCTAATTTAAGTGCAGGGATGCAAAGATTCCTACACCTGCACTTTCTGCTCATCCCAGGGCCCTCCCGCACCCCAGCCTTCCCTAGCGGCCTGGAACAGTTCTCTGTGTTCCTTCGGTTGGAGGTCAATCGTCTCTGGGGTTTGGAGCAGTAGGAGTTGAGGGGCTAGGGAGACGCGCTAGGTTAAGGTGGTATGTGCTGGAAACGCGCGTCTTCTCTGAGGGGTTAAGGGTTTCGGAGGCTGGGGTTCTGGACTTACCAGAGCAGTTCCAGCCGGTAGGTGTTTGGCAGTCACTTAAGGAGGTAGGGAAAGCCGCAAGCTTGACCGGGCGGGCTACGATGAGTAGCATGATGGGCAGCAGCAGCAGCCAGCAAAAGCCCTCGCAAAGTGTCCAGCTGCTGCACTGCCGCGGGGACTCCCACAGCACCATGACTAGTTCGCGCAACTCTGCAGCAGCAAACGGCTTCCGAAAAACACACTATCGTTGGGGCCCGGCAGCGGGCTACTGAGCATCCCGTGGACGGCGGCAGTAGAAGCAGTGGCGGTGGCAGTGGCACCTGAGGGCGAAACAGCAGCCAAACCCGCGCATGATCTCGAGAGTTTTAGCAACATCCAGTGACCCGGCTCAGCTCCGGCAGCGAGAGGGTCGTTGGCTGAGAAGCTACGCCGGAGACCTGGGAAGCTCCTGCCATAAGAAAAGGGCTCTGGGAGGCCGGGGGAGCAGGAGACCAGAGTCCAGGGACAGAGGAGAGGAGCCCTAGGAGACAGGGTGGAGGAAAACTCAAAACGCCCCGCAGCCAAGCAGCCGCCTCTCGCGTTCTGCTGCCCGCATCCCTCAGGCGTTTGGGAAGCAGCAGGTCCTTAGCCCGCCCGGGATCACGTGGGAAGAGGCAGACGGCCGCTGATTGGCGGAGCGGGATGCAGGTCCCGGGAGGGAGGGGTCGACAAGGAGGTGCAAGGAGGAGGCGACGGTGGATGCCACAGATGGGCTAGCTCGCCAGGCTCTGGCCCGAGTGGGGCTAGAAGGGGAGGGCTCAAGCAAAAAGCGCAAGCTTCTGGGTGGGCTAATCCCACACCTGTATAGTATACCACTTGCCCTTTCACTCTCTGCCCCCAACCGAGAGCAGGCTCCGCTGGCTGTAGCGCCCCACTTCCGTGCATGATGCCCGCCTGCTGCCGGGTGGCATCTCTCAGAGCTGGAGCTGGTGAGGGCGGAGGTGGCAGAGGAGCGGTAGCAGCAGGGCAGAGAGGGGAAAGCGGGCGCAGAGGAGAGGGCGTCCTGCTGGCGCCCAGCGCTCCAGCTTGCGGGAGCGCGCCGCCTGGCTGTAAAAGAATACAGGTTGGGAATACGCTGCGGAGAGCCCAGGGACAGTTCTCTAGGGAGAAGCCGGGAGCCGGGGACGTGAAAGGCGGTGGTGTGAGCACAGCTTTGGCCGGCCTGGAAGCTGCAGCAGTTCCCACAGGAGCCTGAGACCCTGAGGCTGCTCGCCAAGCTGGCTCAACCAGTCTTCCAGGCTCTCTCCTCTTCCTTTTCTCTCTCTCTTCTGCCCTCCCGGGCCCCCTGCAGTCCCGACCCAGCTCGAGGAGCAGAAGGTTTGAAGACCTCTCCCCATCCCACGCTTATCTCTGGCCAGCAGCCCATTTGTGTTACTACCTGGGAGGTGCGGGCAAATGTGTTTAAAACGTTGGATTTGGTCGGGACAAGTGGTCAGAGAGAGGAAGGGAAGGCTCCTCTGCATCAGCAACGGGTGGGTTTCCCGGCGCGTTCTCCGGGAAGCGGCGTCTGAGAAGGGCGGCTCAGCTCGACTGACCGCGCAGGGAGTGGCCCTGGGCACTTTGCGCTGGTCACTGCCCGGTCGCCGTGACCTGGGCGAGGAAAGAAGGTCTAACTTGACAGGAGTGTCTCGCTCTGCGCTTTTCTTTCTTTTGCTCCTGCCGGTGTTGGGCACGCCGCGTAGCCGGACCCGCCTTCTGCCTGCTGCATTCTTCACGCAGTTAGACACACTCTTTAGACTAATGGTGTTTTAGTCCTTAGTAAGGGGACGCGCAGCGTCCTGGGACACGGATGGAAAGGAACATCTTTCTCCTTTGACCCCCGTAGTTATTGCAGTGACAGTGTTTTGGATGAGTTTTCTTTTCTACGTAATTGTTCAGTGTTTAATGTGTGATCCTTCAATGATTCAGGATTTTTTTTCTGTCCCGCAACCTCCCTCTCTAGTTCTCTCTCCTTCCTTCCCTTCCCTTTCCTCCCTCCCTCCCTTCCTCCCTCCCTTCTTTCTTTCGGGAACCCCCATCTCTTCCTTTTCTCTCTCTCTCTTTTTAATTCTCGCCATTCTTCCTCTCCTTCTCTGTCACCTGAATTTAGAAGAGCATTGGCTGATAACATCTCACGGGCAATTTGCGTCCATCACCAATCACTTACAAGAGGCACCAACATACTTTGAAAACAGGGATTAGCATCGTTTACAGGCACAGCCAAACAAACAAACAAACAAACAAACAAACAACAACAAAACTGTACCCTATACCGGACCTATCTTTTTAAGTACTTTAACCTCCATCCTCCTCCCATTTCCTTGCATTTTAACTTCTTCTTGGAGGCATGTGATCACGCAGCACCTCAGTGTCTCAAAGAAATCTCATTCCCCCCCCCCCCCGTGTGAAACCCACTCCTTTATCTTACACACCTGCCTCCGCTGGGAGGTTGCCCCCACCCCAACCCCCGCCCAATTCCAAAGATTTCTGAGTCTAAGTGTCTCTCACTCCTGACAATTAAGCAGCGGATCCCAGCATTCTAGTCGGTGGCATCTCGCTCCTCACCGACGAAGACTCCATTAAAACAGATCAATTTGACCAGACGTTGGAGGCATCAGAAAATCGGCTTCTAGACAGTGCAGCTAAATTCTTTAAGGAAACGAAATGCCCATTAGATAGAGCTGCCAGTTGACACTGAAAAAACAAAGAATCAGAGATGTCTTTTGCTGCTGCCCCCTTTCAGCAGAGACAGCAACATAAATATACGATTAGTGTACATCAAGGTTTAACAACTCAGAGTGAGAACATGTCATTTTCCATGGCAAGGCTGGTGTGCTAACTAATCAGGCTTATGAAAATAAGTTAGGCTTGGAACTAAAGGCAAAGAAGTCTTTAAAAGTGTTTACGCAGTAATTGTAATAATGAAGCAGGACCTGCTAGAATATCAGTGCTTGGCTATATAAGTAGAATTTTACAGAACCTCTTAGCAGAGTAAAACTGTTATTGAATTCTCTCTTAAGTAAATTTTTGGCATGCTTTCTAGTAACATGTACTCTTCCTAAGACATTTTGCCCAAAGTAACTTAAAACTCCAAAGGAGTTAATTACCAGTTGTGACTGGTTAACAAATGCAGTTGCTTCCACAGAGGTTCTTTAAATTATTAAACAGTTGGAAGCAAAGCATTTCCAATAGGAATGCTGTGATTTTGTTCAGCTTACTTTGTACTTAGTGTTACAGTGCCACCAAGAAACAAATTCTGAAACTGGCAAGCACCACCAAGTGGCAGAAGAACATCATTCACCAAACAGGCCATAGTATTATTGAACATGTAAATAAAAAATATATACATTATTTAGTTTCATCATTAGTACAAAGGAAGTAGACAGGCATTAAATTTTATAGCAGTGGAGATCAGATCAGTGATTGGATTAATGTTTCCACTTTTCTCCTAACAGGATCCAATCATATTATTTATTAGAATCAAATTTAAAACAAGGTCTACTGATTGTACTTTGCATTGGGTGTGTATATGATTACTAGTAATACCGTCATTTCATGAATTTGCAAAATTGCTCATTAAAAATTGTACACAATATTTGTTTTCACTGTTCCTGAATTAAAACAGTTTATGTCATACACCCTCTAGAACTCAGAGGAAGTAAAATAAAATTGTAATATTATTAGGTAGAAATAGCAGAGTATTTTTTTCCCAGAAAAGTTAAAAAGATGTTTGCATGCAGAAAGGGATTCATTAGGAAATGGAGCATAAAATGGCGACTCAGGCCTTGAGCTTCTTGTCCTCTGAGAGAGGAAACTATGACTGAGAACACATCTACTCTGTCCAAGCAGCCTCTTTGCCTGCCCTCATTATGGAACACCAGTAGCACCCAAACTCCAGAACTCACTAAATCTCAACAATGAGCAATGAAATTTAGTGTTTCATGCTTGGAATTAGTATTCATTACTTGAGGGGACTTCTTTAAAAAAAGATAAATTCTAGATCTCACTACTAGGAATTCAAATTTAGAAGTCTGGGGTTGGACCATGGAATCTATATTCCAAAATCATCCTTTAGAACTAAGACACTCTTATATGATAAGTTAAAGTATATCTGAATTCTTGCTCAGTTTTCATGGGACTTCTGGCAGAGAGGTTTCTAAGGCAGGATAAAGGCTTATATTCAGTGTATACATCTATCTATTGACCATTAGGAGTTGAATTCTTGTACTCATACATTCACCAATATGAATTAAGCTTCTAATTTGTCTGACTCAGTAATTTTGTTTGTAATAGGTTTCCTCATTTGTAAAATGTGGATAATAGTGACACCTACTTTCTATAGTTTATCTGAAGATTAAGGCAAATATGCTTTAATTTTCATGGCCTTAAGGGAAATGCCTATATAAATGAATGAATAAATATATGAATATGTGTATGTTGTTACACTGAGATATAATCAGAAGTAATTAAAGATACCAAATTATGTGTCTATAGTGCTAAATATGTACACATATGTTGATTACTGATAATGAAGTATAGTATCATTTTTATATCTAACACAATATCATAACATTTTGTCCTTTGATTTGTAGCCTCTCTCAGATAGAGAGGTAGATAGATATTTTTATGATATCAGATAAGTAGGTAGGTAGATAGACAGATGGATAATAATGTTCCAAATACTTATTCCCTTAATTTTTATTTATAATTTGTTAATATTAAATGCCTATTTTATTGGTAACTAACAAATATATTAGAACATTAAGTGTTTAATTTGTAGATCAAATGCCATTGACAGTGTTCCAGGGAAGTCATCTTCATTTTTGGTTGATTTTTTTTAACCAAGTAATTAAACTTGTTATTTTTCCAACTTTTGATGTACAAATAATAAATTATGGTTTAAAGAAATAATTTTATAATGAAAACGTTTACTTATGACTTATGGATTCCTGTGCCCTTAATTATTTTTAATAGTTTATGTTTAGATGTATCATTTCATTCCCGGAGAAATAGTTTATTTCCCCTTAGGGCAGTGGTCCCCAGTCATGAGCATATATTATATTCACCTAGGGAAATAAAAGATACTGATGTAGAGTCTCCGTTGCAAATCTGGGCTCTCTGGGGGTGAGGCAGAGGCACGGCTACATTCCTTAAAGTGTCCCTGGTGATTGTAAGGCATGCTGTTATTGTTGACAGCTACTACCAAGGGGAAGGTCAATGAGTGCGTATTTCCTCCTTATCCAAATTATCCGAGTTTCAGCAGGTAAGAAGAGTGATTTTTTTTCACTTAAAACTGTTAAACATCTCACAAAAGGTCTCTTTGATTAAGATATTTAACCAAAACAATATGCAACAATGTTTGTTAATAGTTTGATATTTAATTTAATCACAACAGTATTTTAGAGCTTAGTTTAAAACATTTTTTTGAATTTATTTATTTTTAATGTTTTATTGTTTATGCTATTACAGTTGTTCCAATTTTTCCCTCTTCTCTCCCCTCCACTGAGCCCACCCTCCACTTCTGTAGTCAATCCCCATTTGGTTGTCGATGTCCATGGGTC